ATATATATACATATTATAATGCAAAAGTCTTAAGTTTTACAATTCTTCAACACAAACTGAACTCTTGTAATTTCTTTAAGCAGTCTTCTTGAAGGACATTCAAAGCTCATCTTTAGATGTTTGCATGTTTTAGTTAACTTTTCACCAATTATTTTGTGAACTTAAAAAAATTAAAATAAAATAATAATAAAAAGGTGCTATCTTTACTTTTAGTACTTGTTTATCTTGTAAAAAAAATCACTGATGAAGCTTTGACGGACCTGTTTATTGGGACTATTGAGAGTTAACTTCTTTCAAAAGATTTAGTTTTTATTAGAATATCTGTACTAACTCAGACTAAACTGTGCTTCCTGCATATGTGCCTCCATGCAATAAAAGGCTAAAACGAACATCGAAATTAATAAAAACTCAACAAAAACTAAACATTTTCAAGCAATAAAAACTGAACTGAAACAAGCAATGCAACTCTGGAAACTAAGTCAAAGTGGAATAATAAAAACTAATTAGAAAATACAAAACCATTATAGCTGTGATACACAATCACAGTTGACCTGTTCACCTTATCTCCTTCTCCATACATTTCTAACTTGCATTTATCACTCCATAAAACCGTTGATACTGATGTTCAGTCCAACTCTTGTGTATTATGGTTTACTGTAATGTTGAAAGACCTTCAGAAAACCAGGAGAACCATTGATCAAAACCACTTAATTAGTCTGGCTCCTTTGAAGGAATCTATAAAGTACTGTAAAGTGATGATCTATGTTTATCCTGTAATATGTGTTCAAGTAACCAGACAGAAGTTGTGTTTATGGTTTCCTATCCTGGTACATTTAATTCAATATGATGTTATCAGTTTGTGAGGAATATTTCAACAAATTTCCATAAAATAATGTTTAAGGGTGAAACAACTAGACAGAAATCTCAATATATGGACAATCCAATAACTTAAATGCATACAGCATCATATCTGTGCAAAAATCAAGCATTGCTCTCTATGACTGAATAAAACTATAAATATTGTATGTGACTGCATTCATAATATAGCAAATTTGACACTAAATTCGACATCAGACAGACTGCTGATATTGTGAAGGTCGATATTGTGATTATAAGCCAAGGCCCTGTCTGTGCAAGGCAGTGCATGGATCCTTCCCACATTCATGCTGTTTATCTGTATTTGTGGACAGTGGCCATATCTCTTATTAACCGTCAGCCACAGCAATGTTACAAGTAGCAGGGTAGCTTTTGAGGTTGACATCATGGAAAAATAAAATCTTCATCTTTCTGCCCCACAGGAGACCTCTCCTCCTCATCCTTTCATAAGCTCTTCTTATTTTCACTCATAAACACTCCCTCATACATTTTATAAGCCCCGATACAAGGGATCTTTGGCTTTCTCAGAAATTTGTTCATCTGCGGCGCATCCATTAGATGATTTCATTTTTCTCAGAGAAGCTTTTATCCACATCAAAAGCCAAATGGTTACAAAGTAAAGCTAATGAAGTCCACTTTTGTAATGTAATGCACCACATGTACCAGATCTCCCTGTTGTTGCCTCCAGTTTCCCGCTCAGCTACAGCCGGTGTTTAACTGAATAAATGGGAGATGACAAATACATCTGACACACATAGGAAAATCCTGTGAGTCACAATGTGTTATAAACTTGTTTACATCCACTCTTACTTATGGTTGGAACAAGCAGCCTTGTAGAGATTTAAAAATAAACAGTATGCCAGTATTTGCACCACGAGGACTGATATTGGTGTCAGTTTCGGCGACAGC